GGTGTGAAACTAAAAACACATCAGATCCTTACTGCCGCAAATGCTTGCCAGATGAAGCGGCCCAGCTTCGGGTTATTAAATTCGTGAGATTATGACAATGTGGTGGCCGGCCCATAATGACACCTTGTCCATCAATTAAATTTGATACGCTTTTTAATTACGTTTCTTCCTCCTAGTTAATTTTGCAGCTACAAATTAATAATGTACGCTTACTGTGTAATTAGCTAATATTGCCACTGGCGGCTCATTAAATGATGCTCAATTGAAACTGTCAAAAGTATGTATTTGCAAAAACCGATAGTTAAAAATTTAATAGAAATCGATCACGCAGGTTGGTCATTAATCACTCTAAAGTGACTATTGTCGCACGAATACCCAACTTATTTCTAAATTAGCTCAATAAAGCCATGTCAGGTGAGCCATGAAAGTTCCACTAAGTTCAATTCACATTCTTTGAGAAGTAGAAATACTCTCCACGAAGGTGGAGGTACGAGAGAACGAAAAATGACACTGAAGATGGCACAACGCCGAAACCGGTTTGTCTCCAAACCAAATTTGACAAGGGATGACGGAAATTCGTTCCAAAATACATAAATAAACTAGTAATTTTTAGCAAAAAAAAACCGACTTCAACTCTCATATAAAAAAAATATATATATATATATATCTCATGATCCACTGATCGGATCTCAACCAGATTAGTATGGGACCACCTCTGAGACATTACCTTTCCGATGCAAAAAGAAAATCGGTTGACGTGGTCCAAAGTTATGCGGTAACATACATAAAAAAAAAAAATTCCGACGAACTGATAACCTCCTCCTTTTTTGGAAGTCGGTTAATAAGTATTTTTTATGACTTTTGTTTGTGAAAATGCTACTTTTCCTTATGTATTCTACACAATTTTGTAGGGAATGGCACAAAAAATTTAGTCCGGCAATATTTTTTTTTTATTTTCTCCATTACTGCTGTACTTTTGTATCGACTTAAGAGGGCAGGAAGTTCACTTTTGTTCTTAGTGTAAATCCAGTTTTCTGTTTGTCTCTATAATTTTTGCATGAAAACATTTCACTTAAGTTAATACAAAATTTTCCATACAATTAATTAGAAACAACAAAAAATATTAAAGCAGTTAAGCATTCACCTTTAAATTATGTTTACAAACAATTATTGAATTCGCAAAGTAAAAAAATGCAACAACAACTTAACCGGTTTCGCTTAGCGTGTGGGCAAGTTTTCTTATCGTGCTGGATTACGTAATTATTTAACGATATTTGATATTTATTGAACAGCTGATTAAACACTTGAAAGTCATGAAATAAAGCATGAAATGTAATGGTATTAAACACGCAATGTGTGCGCTTCCATTGAGAACACAAGGAAATTGGTGGCTAGAGAAAAGCGATAGGAAATAAAAAAAAATGCCATTAAAATAGTTATACGAAAAGCTTTAAAAGATTAATTTATTAATGAAAATAAACGTTGCTAGTTAAGCACAAATTAAGGAGGTTTTAGTAGGCACTCAAAAAAGTACAGCAATAAATGATAATCATAAATATAAAAAAAATAACCAAGTTTATAGACAATTAATATGTAGTGCCAATACAGCAGTCTGATAAATAAAATAAAAAATCGTTGTATACTAACACGAGTGAGTGTGTGAGCATGTTTGTTGTTCTTTTACGCTAGAACGGCTCGACGGAGTTGGGAAAAATTTAGCGCAGAGAAAGCTTATATATAGGATATAGATAAAATTCAATTTGAATTATAAGTTCAACGAAATTTCAAAATATAGATACTAAACGAACGAGATTTAAGAAATAATTTACTAAATATCAAAAAAAAAGAAAATAAAGATTAAAGCAAGTCACGTAATAATACGAAATACTTCTTCCCCCCATACATACGTGATTTATAGTGGTCATTTGTCACTTGATTTATGCACACCCCTTTTTACGAAATTTTTTTTTTAAGTTGGTTGTCAGCCGTTTAAAAGTCGAATGAAATTTAATTAATTAGTTCGCTTAAATATTACTTACAATATCTATGTCAAACGAAACAGGTTCAAAAAACCGTTTTTTTAATATTTTGAAGAAGTTTGCCACCTCTTTAAATTACAAGTTTAATTTAAATAAATATTAAAATGAGT